AGTGGAGCTATAAAGTTCCACTTGCAGTGTTCTCCTTCTTAATACCCCTATCTGAGCCCAAATTTTCCTCCAGAACTAGAGGCAGTTATTTTGAAATCTGGTCTCTCTTATGATAAAGGAACACTATACTAAAAAAAACACTAAAAAAAAAACAACAAAAAAAACCTCTTTACCTGAAATTACACACTGTGATATATGATTGTGTCATCTCTGCCTTCAATTCAACAAGCTACCACAAACTGCACAAATATCAACACATGCTATTTGATAATAAGCCACAAAGGTTTCAATCCTGTCAAGGTTTCAATCAAAGCTGAAGATTTATGAGTGTGGCATGCATAAAGCCTGCATTCTGATTCAGTCAAAACTAATAAGACCTTTTACACAGCCTTCCTCTACTCTTGTGTATACACCACCTGTATGGAAACATTTGTCTCCTTTCCTTGATGGAGTGAGGAGGTCACAAAAACGAATGTTTCTCAAGGTTCTTTGAGAGGCTGCACCACAGTGATTTGGAATAAAAGAGAAAATACTGAAATCTCTTCAGAGAAGTGTTCCAGTAGCCTTGGCAGAGGGGTATCATGTCAGAAAAGAAGTCCACCAGTATGTTTGGTTTTGCAATAATTAAGACATACCAGAGCTTTCAAATAAAAGGTAATCTCCTCTTTGAAAGCAAGAAACACTTCCTCTTGGTTTATCATGCACATCTCACACTACCAACTATTACTTCCCTATCTGCTACTGGATCTTCATAGGAATATTCAGTCCATGTTAGAAGCTTCAGCTGAAGGATCATTACTCATCCCTAGGAAGGAGGGAGCATATCTTCTCTGAGAATGTCTGAGGTCCACAAGGGGACCTACCATTTCTCAACACCTTCCCCCTGGAGAGAACAGCATGAGGAAAGTTCTAAAAAATACGTAAAATTATTTCCTTCTCTCCCTCTTTCTGTAGAAGAGAGGTGATAAAGGCCACACAATTTCCTTTTAGACTTTACTTTTCTAGCTCCCACCTTTCCAGAGGCAAAATCAATAGCAGGGATGTATTGCCAGCCTTTAATTAGTTTGCTACTGTTTTCGACTGATGTACCCAAAACTAAAAGGAAGTTCTGGCCAAATTAATTTCTGATAAACAATTCAATCAGGTGTAGAAAGCAAAGAGGCCATTTATGTTGGGTACACAATGACCAGATTCACAGTTCCTTCTGAGTGCTCAAAAATCTATTGTTAGCAAAGCCCAACAGCCAATACTGCTACTTCACATTAACAATTCCATCATTTGGGAATTGAAACTTCAGATTATTTTGTGAAGCATGGCCAAGATAAAACTTGTTGTTTAAAACAATCCTTTAAAAGTATCAACAAATGTAATAAAATTTCAAACATGAAAGCGAAAGGGAAATTTTTCACATTTCAGTTCCAACACTGTAAAGGGAAACTATTTCATACTTAAAATTCAAAGACAGCGTGTCAAGTAATTTCACTGTTACAGACTTGAATTACCTGCACTGGCCTGAGGGCATTATTCATTCTCTGAGAAAAATTGTACTTTAATATTGCTATGATTTTCCAAAATAATTTTAATGCAGAAGCCTGGATGAATCTGAATCATCCATTTCAAGATTAAAGTGATGACATTCTCTGACTGTAGAGAACCATTTAATTGAGAATTGAGCTTAGGGATATGCCCAAAATCAAATATGTGAATGAGAAAACAGTATTAATAAAAGGACTAGTATTTTGCTTTCTTTGCTTAACTTCTGGTTTGCTGATACTAAATATTATATTGAATGCTTATGCTATGTCAAAAGATTGTGAAATTGTTGGCCACTGTCCCAGACCATTTAATGATTTGTCACACGCAGGAGGAAAGATAATCTTCCCACTAGGCATTAATGGATCCATTTTTGTAAGTACTGAATTATTAATCTCTTTTAGGGGTTATCTGTTGCCTGATCATTTGTTAACTTTATATGAAGTTGGGTGCTGGAACTAGAGCACAGTCTGAGGAGACTTAACTCCACAATAGAGCCTGAAGTGAAGAAGGAACTTCCATCATTGACCAAGGTAGAGCATGAATTTACTATACAAATAACTGCCTGTACCCTAAGGCTTTTTTAGGTATGTTGATAGTAAAAGGAGGACTAGGGAGAATGTAAGTCCACTACTGAATGAGGTGAGTGCCCTGGTAACAAGGGAGGCTATGAAGGTGGAGATACTGAACATCTTCTTTGCTTCAGTCTTTACTATTAAGACTGCTCCTCTGGAATTCCAGACCCTGGAGGTGAGAGAGAGGTTTGGGAACTGAAGTCTTCTTTGTGGTTCAGGAGGAGATGGTAAGAAGCACCTAGCCAAAATCAACACACACAAATCCATGCACCCCAATGACGTTTGCCCATGCGTGCTGACAGATTGCTGAACCACCATCATCTCTGAAAGGTCTCGGCAAATGGGAGAGGTGCTTGAAGACTGGAGGATAGCCAACGTCACTCAAGTCTTCAAAAGGGGCATGAAGGAGGATCCGGGAAACTACAGGCCAGTCAGCCTCACCTCTGCCCCTGGAAAAGTGATGGAACAACTTGTTCTGGATACCATCTCCAAGCAAATGGAAGAGAAGGTTACCAGTAGCCAACATGGAAACGTGCTCGACTAGCCTGGTAGCCTTCATACGATGTTGTCACTGGAAGGGTAAACAAGTGGAGAGTAGTGGATATTGTCTGCCTTGACTTTGGCAAGTTGTTTGATGCTGTCTCTTACCGCATCCTTGTAATGAACATTAAGGAAGTGTGAGATAGATAAGTGGACAGTGAGGTGAACTGACAACTGGCTGATTGGCTGAGAGACCTCAGAGAGTTGTGGTCAATGGTGCAGAGTCGTAGGCCTGTAGCAAGTGTCTCCCAGGGGCTGGTTTGCTGATAATAAAAAGCTGGGAGGAGTGACTGACATACCAGAAGGCTATGCTGCCATTCAACAAGACCTGGGAAGACTAGCAAGTTAGGCAGAGAGGAACCTGATGAGGTTCAGCAAGATCAAGTGTAGAGTCTTGCACTTGGGAAGGAATAGTCTCGTGCATCAGTACAGGTTAGGGGCTGATCTGCAGGAGAGGAATTCTGTAGAGAAGGACCTGCGTGTCCTGGTGAACAAACGTTGACCATGAACCAATAGTGTGCCCTTGTGGCCAAGAAGGCCAGTGGTAACTTAGGGTGTATTAAAAAGAGTGTAGCTAGCAGGTCGAGGGACCCTCTACTCTGCCCTGATGAGGCCACATCTGAAATACTGTGTCCAGTTCTAGGCTTCTCAGTTCATAAAAGACAGTTATATCCTAGAAAGAGTCCAGCAGAGAGCGACAAAGTTGATAAAAGAGCCTGGAGCATTTCCTGTACAAGGAAAGTCTGAGAGAGGTGGGACTCTTCAGTCTGGAGAAGAGAAGGCTGAGAGGGGATCTCATAATTATCTATAAATACCTCAAGTGAAGGAGTCAAGTTGATGGGGGCAGAGTCTTGTTGGTAGAGAGCAGAAACTGGATCACAGGAAGTTCCACACTAATACAGGGAAAAGCGATTGTCAGAGTGATGGAGCATTGCAGCAGGCTACCCAGATAGGTTGTGGAGTCTCCTTCTATGGAGATACTCAAGAGCCATATGGATGTCTACCTGTGTGATCTCCTCTAGGGAACCTGCTTTAGCAGAGGAGTTGGACTTGACGATCTCTGCAAGTCCCTTCCAACACCTACAGTTCTGTGATTCTGTGACAGTGTATATTAAGAATTTTTCAGCAGCATGATTCCAGCTGAAACTTTGGGTGAATTAGTTCTCTTATGAGCATATGGCAGATACCAAAAATGATGTCACTATATAATTAATTCTACCAATAAAATAGGGTGAGAACATTATGCTTTTTTTATATAGTTTATTGTAGTTTTGTGTTTATATAGTGTATTGTGGGTTTTTTAATATAGTTTATTGTATTTTTAATATAGTTTTTAATATGATAAAATGTGGTAGAACTTATTAAAGACACTTTTCTTGAACATTTCTTAGATAAGCTTTCGTGCTATTGGTATCAAGGTGGAGCCACGTTTATTACAAAATCAACCATAAATGCTGGTCTGACTCACTACTTTCAAGCTAACTAAATGTCTTGATAGCAAAATTTCTTAAATTTAACTCTAAGAATCTCATTATTAGAGTTCTCATTATAGTAAAGCATTGATTACCTAAGTGCAATGAGCTTTAGGTGTAACTGTTGAGTACTGAGGGAATTTATGTTGTAATTGCTAGAAGCCAGGGAAGTATCACCTGGGCAGTTTTACTAACTGAAGTGTGGATAATTCAGGTTCCCAGGTGCATTAGCTATTCTGCACTGAATTCAAAGTCATCCTTGCTCTCTGAGCCAATGAAGTCTAAAACCACGGAGGACAAGAAGCAGCAACTACTTTGATGAATAAAATAATGTGAAAAATTAGCCATAAGAGAAATTAATTAATTAGTCTCCTCTTGTATCTGCACTGGTTTTGACAAGATTCACTGTTTGGTTTAGAAAGTACAGCATTCTAAAAAAAGGAGAAGTGATTAAAAAATTAAAAATTAAAAAATAAGGAATTCTTCCAGAACTAGTACCCTGTTTAAATGATAACATTAAAAAATTAACTAGTGCTTTCCGCAACTACGGAAATCCATTGCAAAACTTCAGGCATAATGTGCTGTTGTCCATTGCAGTACAGAAATTTCAAGCTAGAAGTAACTATGATCTAAGTGCCTGAACCTCTGTCTACTGAAGATTTCAATTCACAAAATCACTTACTCTATTCCAGCCACTAAAGAACCTAATTATTAGCATGTCAGAAAGGCAAGTCAACTTTGTTACCATAGGATAAAATAGAATAGTACAAAGTTAAAGTTTACAGCTGTGGCAGCACATTATAACATTATACTGTAATTAACTCAGTTTTCTACTTCAGCAAAATTTCCCCTGTGAAAATTATTTCAAGCTTTTACTTACATTAATAAAGATTTATTTTTGTTGTTTTTCCTCTTCTGCTACTGAAATGCAGCTCTGATGACTCTGTCGCTCAGTGGCTGAGTTGGTCTGAAGTTGTCTCCTAGGATTCCGTCACAGCCCTCTAGAAGTTCTGCACCCTTAACATGTGTCCTCAGTCTACGAAATTCCTCTATCTGAAAGACAAAAAAGCAGTCATGAAGGTGAGGTACATTCTGCATTATGGGACTAATGATCGAAATCAGCATTCCCTGAAACTTGGAGTGTTGGAGACACCATTTCTAACATTTAAAAACAGTTGTCAGCACTAACAGAATAGAGAAAAATAAGAACTTCTTTTATATATGTGGTTTGGAAAACATACCTTTTGCATTTTCATAACTTCTTTTGGGATCTTTAACGTTCTCACTCATTGTAGATTACATTCCACAAAATCAATCTCACAATTGTGACATGAAAGTACTGATTCTGGTCTTCTTCAAAGAAGTGCAGGAATAACTCAGTTAACTGGAAATTTTTTTGTTATTCTTCCAGTGCTTTATTACCCAAAACTGTTGCTTCATTTAAATCAAAATTATTTGCTAAACCACCAGAATATTGAAAAGGCTTTAAGCTTTAGCGAAAGTATGTTGACATTTTATACCAAAAATATTTTTTTACAATAAAAATGAAATATTACTTCAAAAGTTCTGCAGATGTTAAGTGCTCAATATACTTTTTAAAATAAAATCAAAAATCAATACAAAGCATTTCAGATCTTCCAAAACAATGTATTTTGAGGGTACAGGCTCTTTTCAGATTTTTCACTTTAATCTGATGTAGGAAGACTCAGAGCTTCCATCTCCATCTTTTGTACCAGCATCAAGTTCTACGTGATAAAAGGCTACGAAAACCAATGCATCTACCAACAACATTATGCCTTACTGTTCAACAGGATAGTTACAGTTGCTTGGTTGTTTGGTTTTTTTTGTTTATTTGTTTTTGCTTTGGCATATAGTCAAGCTGGATACATCAAACTTACCTGGAGGTTGACTTCTCTGACTTCTCTACGCTGTGGCTCTGTATCTGTTACAGTCTCTATTATGCCTCACTATCTACCTCAGCTGTAACTTGAAAATGACACAGAACTTGCAAATTTTACACAGAAAGTAAAATGGAGCCTGAAGTTTAATCTTTTTATTATCTAAGACATTATGAAGAATGAATTTCTTCATGAAAAACACTCTATGAAGGATTAAAGGGAGAAGGCAAATGTGATTCCAGAATTAAAGGAAGTTAGGTACTGAATAGCGGGTAATGACATTTTTGTTCTTATATTGCCCACAGAGAATACTTTCTTACTGCAACTTGGAAGACAACTGCCTTCATTGTTTTGTTCCACTCTATTGCAGAAGTGACAGAGACTTATTTAGTTGATTTAGAGGCTAGCTTTGCTCTGTTGCTTTTTCCTCAAAAAACTGTGCTTAGATATCAACTGTTCTGCTTCTGGCAGCTGAGATACAAGTCGATAGCTTAGACTGTAAAATGAAAAGAAGAAGGAACTATAAAGCTCCTTCGAAGTGCTTTTAGAGGCAGATCTCAATTTTGGAAGATTTTTTTATTTTTTATTAAAGTGATTTTTTTATTGTTTATTAAAAGCAAACTGAAAACAAACTCACTGCAGGTTACCGAACTGAAAATGTCTTCAGGAGTCAAGTGCTGATAAATCACTGAATGACTTTCGTAAAGGTAGTGTCTGTCACCATCACTAAAGTGAATCAACCCTGGAAAGTCTGAAATAATTGTTGTTTGGGATGGTGCATTTTACAGGAATTTGGCTTTTTTTGTTTATCTTTTGAAAATAATAGACTTTAAACACATATGAAGGGAAGAGCAGATGGCAAAGTCAGCATTTCTGAGTTATCTACTACAACTATGAATGCTCTGCCCCAATTCCTACAGTGAAATCTTTCTCCAGGACGTTCTGCTCACAAAGCATCTTCCAATTTCTCCAGTCAGCAAAATAGGACCTTGTCTGTTCACACATCTTCAGGGAAGTCAGGAATTGCAGCCTCACTCTAGATGGATAATTGCCTCTAAGCCCACCACAGTAACTGGTGACCCCTTCATATTAGGGTTGAGATCCCAATGACAGAGGCCTTCTTACATACATGGTAGTCTACTTCGTGCTCAAGAAGCAGTGCTGTCAGAAAAGAACACTTAGATGTGCTGATGCTACTTTTCATACTTAATTGCCAAGCGAAAAGGCAATATTTGTGCCTTGCTCATACTGCTTCACCTGATACGGAATCATTCACTATACCCTCTTCATCTTCTTATCCCAACCCCCTACATTTCACTGCTATAAAGTACATTCTGAAGAGGAAACACTTTAGAAACACACAGATGAACTTCCTTGGATATTCACACACCTTCAACAGAAACAGCAGAAAGTTTTCTCACACCCAGAAGACCGCAGTCCTGTTCATACTGAAACTTGGGGTCAAAGTGAAAGGGTAATTCCACAATGTTAACATTCCTACTTCTGCTGAGTAAAAATAAAATTAGCTTACATTTTTTAAGTTTTGCAAGACTGTTTTTGCTAATCCCCTGTATTCAGATCCTGAATTTTGCTTTATTCTGTTTTACTTAAATATTTGCTGAAGAGTATTTGTGTGTTTTCTCTAGGAACATTTCTTTTACATGAGAAATAAAAGCCTTACCCTTCTGTTTGAAAATTTCACATTTCCTTCAATACACCTTTCCAGAATAAAATAACATTTCACAGACTGTTTTATTTCACAGGCTGTACAAATTCTGCACAACTCCCACTCCATTTCCAAATACTAGCTACTGTTTCTGTCCTTTAAGAGGACTTGACTTTGAATGAAGTAGATGAAAGGACTAGAGACCTAGCCATTCAATACAAAACCAGTTAACTCTGACAATGACAGCAGAACAACAGCTCCTCACTGCATCATTGTGTTAAATCCCTACTCTGCCTGGCTTAGACAATCTATTTGTTCTAGGCTTTGGTGTACCACAAAGCACATAATTCATGATGTCCTATTTAAAAAATATATACAGTACAGAGAAGCATAAGCAAGTGGGTTTTTTTCAAATTTTTTGCCTGTTCTTTTCAGGTCTAATAGGAGAGAGTTTTCTATTTTCTTTAATTGTATTTCAGTAGTGTACATGCATGAGCAACAACAACACAGTTAATCCTTTGCTCTATATTGTAATGTAAGACAAATGAAGATGATAAAAAACACAAAAGGAAGGCAAGAATGTGCAAAAAGAACACTGCAGGATGTAGCTTTTCACACAAGGCTTGATCTCTTTCCAACAGAGTTCAGTAATGAAACTTCTCCAAGAACTGTATTTGCAAAACATTATTCTCCAGTTGCCTGCACACATTTTATTCAAATCCCACAGAACTACTTACAAAAAACTACTCTCTGATGGAAGTGCAGACTCATAGCACAGAATATCACTTGTACTAAAGAAATAGCAATGAACTCTAGAAATTCACACTCTGATGCGACAGTCCTGATTTGTTATTTTACTGTTCATGGCATGAATCTGATCTAACCTCTCTCTTTTCCACAGCCACCTCTCAGCTGCACACTATGTCAGTGGCAGTATGAAGTCCTCCAAGCTCCTCCATGACTTGTAAGCTCTTCACCACTGCAAAGCTCTGGACCAGATTTATACCAATCAATGTACTTCAGCAACACAAATGCATTTATTCCTCAAATAAAGCTGGGTAAGGTCCAAAATTCTAGTCTTTTCTCTATAAACTATGCATCTATGTGAAGACCTCTGTTTAAGAAGTACTCAAGATGTGCTCAATAATTAAAGCAAGAAGACAATGCCAAATAATGAGTTTTGATAACAATGGCACAATATTTCTCTCTTGAAGATCTATCCCCTTCACATCATATTCCACCATTTTGTCTTGTGGTAAATGAGCACATACATTAATTAAAGTTGCATTTTTCTGCTTAATTCTTCTCTCTCATGCACCCTTCACACAATCTCCCAGCGCACACAAATACCTTGAACTGTGCCCTCTTTTGTCCATTGACTAGATTAAAAAGGAATAGAGAAAACAAAATATGTAACTAGCATGAAATCAAATTTTATACAATGACTTAGTCTTATGAGTATGGTTTTCACACTTCCAGTGAAGTCCTCTTATTTATCCATATCATTTCCAGGCAATTAGCTGCTGTGTTACAAAACAAACTGCCTTTAAAGTTATTCTGAATCTAATAGCACCAATAGAGTTATGTTTCCATCTACTCAGTAGTAAGCAGCCATAAAACTTATCCTTTTGTAAGCAAAGAAATACCAGATTCAAGACTGATAGATACGTTTAACTTCTAGCTAACAAAGAAATAAGCTTACTGGGAGCAATCACTTTTACCTGTGATTAGAACTAGAATTCATTTTCTGTGTGAAAATAATCAATGCTAATTCAAAATGATAAGTCATTAAAACATTGTGCTGGGATTACTAGCAGAATTTTAGATTTTTAAAATTGAAATAACATGAACTTATCACCTTTTATATTTTTTTCCTTCTATTTGCACATCCTCCAGATCAGGCAATAAAAATTAATGCACTCAGCTTCAGGGATTCTAGATAGTTTCACTTAGGTTATATCCACATTTCTCAAGTTGGGATTCACAGAATGAAGGAGAATAACTGTCAGGAGCTTTCACTATTTTTACTGGGCTTATTTGCAGACAGGTTTGCAATTTCTTTCATTTGACTGTTAGATATTATAAAGAATATACTTTAAAATACATACATATAAAATTAAATCTAAATAAGTCGTTTCCATTTGACATTTATTACAAAATAGAACTAAAAAAAGAGCAAGGTAAGCAATGTATAGTTCATTTCAATACAGCTAGCCTGTACTATGTTAACATTTTTTATTCTCCAGGATGTAGTGTCTCCCTGTGCATTTTTGTTCCTTTAACATCAAAAAGCACTGTTATTTGAAAGCTTACAATTACAAAGAATTGAATTTCTTTTGCCCATTGACTTCTTTCTTTTCTTTCACTTTGACTTAAATAAAGAATTATTTTAAATGCAGATGATAAATGATAACAAGGTTTTTCATCTCTGACCTTTGCGATGCCTTCAGTGACTCAAAAGGTTAACCTTTACTTGAAAAGCCATGTACTGATCTAATGGGATCTTCATGGAGAACAGACATAATGCCCTGATATATATATTTGCACACTATAACCTTTAGCTCATAACCATATTCCAAGGTCACTTCAAGAAGAACTGTTACCTGCACTTGGGACACAGTCAAAGGATAGCGAAATAAAATCCAGGTGACACCTTCGCTGCAGGGTGGAATTGTTAGGGAGCCCTCATACACCCAGTAGTCACGCAGTAGAGGATCTGAAATTAAAAGAATTTTTAAGGAAGAGGATTGATGGCTTATGACAGCCATGAGCCTTCTCATATGATGAAGTTAGTATGCAGAAATCTAAGGTGTGAATTTATGACCTGCTAAGTACTGTTAACTACTTTCTCATGTGAACACACATAAACACACGCTTATTGCATAACAGTAACTTCTTGTAGATTGATTATAGAATCACAGAATCATAGAATTGCTCAGGTTGGAAAAGACCTTAAAGAGCATCGAATCCAACTGCAATCTAACCAAACTACACTGAGCACCACATCCAAATGGTTTTTAAATAAAAACATTCAGGGATGGTGACTCAATCACCTCCCTGGGGAGCCTAGTCCAGTGCTTAGCAACCCTTTCTGTAAAGTTTTTCCTGATATCCAACCTAAACTGGCGCAACTTGAGGCCATTTCCCCTCGTCCTGTCACCTGCCACCAGTGAGAAGAGACCAATCCCGCTCTCGCTGCAATCACCTTTCAGATATTGGAAGAGAGAAGTAAGGTCTCCCCTCAACCTCTTTTTCCCCAGACTGAACAGCCCCAATTCCTTCAGTCTCTCCTCGTAGGGCATATTTTCCAAGCCCTTCACCAGCCTTGCTGCCTTTCTTTGCACCTGCTCCAGCACCTCAATGTTCCTTCTGTACTGAAGTGCCCAAAACTGAACACAGTACTCAAGGTGAGGCCTCACCAATGCCAAGTACAGGGGCAGGATGACTTCCCTAGTCCTGCTCACCTCACCATTCCTAACACATGCCAGGATGCCACTGGCCTTCTTGTTCACCTGGGCACACTGCTGGCTCATATTCAGCCTTCTGTCCATCAGTACACCAAGGTCCCTTTCCAGCCACACCTCCCCAAGCCTGTAGGGTTGCCTGGGGTTATTATTTTAAAGATCAAAATGCCACTTTATAGAAATGGCAAATAACATAAGCCCAATCCCTTAAACTAACAGAACAAATAAATAATATGCTGGGAAAAAGTCTCCATATTTCCTGATTCCACATTCTCTATTGCAGTAATTGTTGTTAGACTTGCCCTCATTTGGGCCTAGCTCCACATCTGAAAAAGGAATGGAGGAATGAGAGCTCTTCTTGCCACTCTGGTCAAGTAGAACCTCAAGCTTACTACTCCATGGAGCTTACAGTTCATAGCTGGATTGAAATTTCCTATCTCCAAGACAGGCAGACAACTTCATTGTGAAAAGACAGCCCATTTTGAAAGTAGAAAGGCTGCAGTGATCAAAAAGTGACTAAATTCTACATCCAAACAAAACTTTTCCGTTTCATAATTCAGGTGCCATATTTTTCGAGATGCACTACTGTCTCCTAGCTCTGGAAAAGTGAGTTGAACTTCATGGAAAAAAAAAAAAACAACCCTTAAGAAATCACTCCGTTTCTCATGAAAACAGATCACATGGAGCTGTCCTTTGCTGCTCCATAAGTGTAGGTCACACTCACAAATGATTTCCTGACCTAGCTGAAGAAATAGAATATATTGCCTGATCATAAAAGAGGGTAAAAGCAAACAAACCTGGAGAGGAACTGGACACTCACGACATGGGAGACCTGAGGGAAGGTTGTGACTAGCTTGACAAGGACACAGTTTGAGGTTGGAAATTGAAATAAACTTGTATGGTTGACCTAACCTGTTACTGCCCTTTGGTACTAGCTAAGAGGAATATCACACAGAATAGCGTGATATTAGATAGATATCAGACAGAATGGTGTGATATCTATCTATCAGTAGAATTAAATCTTACTAATGAAACCTGTGCTCCTCACTGAATGGATTTTGTTTTGTTGGTCTCATTTTCTTTCTCAGTTACAGAATTTCATAGCAAGAAGTTGCACTGTCAAGCACTCAAAAATTAAGAACTGCAAGAATTAATTCAGCCCACCATGTGCATGCATTGTAGCACAGTCTCATTACATGATCACATACATCATTTACTTGCAAAGATGTATGACTCTATCTTTAAAAGCAACAGCTAACATTCGGCTTTTTCAGTACCATATGTGGTCCTAGGTCTATTCAAATCCTGCTTCTGACAAGGACAGTTCTTTTTTATTTTTTGTATTTCTAGTGCACTCATTTCTTCAGTGTCCAAGTGCTTCACATACATTACTTCATCCTTCCAGAACCTCAGTGAGGTGAGAAAGGACAGTTTACCCCCAATTTTTAAAGCTGGGGAACTGAGGCACAGAGAGATTAAGTTGAAATGCATCTATTCATTTGAAGTGTTCAATATGAGATGCTTAGAACCTGATTTCTCAGAGTAGTTAACTTTCTATAGCACTTAATGCAGTCAGAGCACTGCTCCCATTGACTTCAGTTGCAGGTATAAGCACTCAGCACTTCTGTAAATCAGACCCCTTGATCTCAAGACGGGCACCTAGAAAATGAGGAATACAGAGTTAGAGTTCACTTATGAAAATTTTGGTTTATGTGACTTGATCAGCATCAAGCCAGGAGCTGTGAAGCATGGGTTCTGTGAAAATAACTTCTGGTAAAGTATGTTTTATAATACATGTTTATGAAAGGGCACAGGCAGCCTTAGTTCCTGCAATTTCTAAATGCTGAGCACTTGACCTTGCAACCTAAATAATACTCCTTTGATAAAATTAATATAGGTTAATAAATAATGGGGTTGTTTTGAAAAATTGTTTAAATATCTTATTACTGTGGCATGGAATTTAGTTCAGAAGCATTCCTTGAAGAAGTATTTATTTCATAGAATTTTTTTTAAAGAAGTTTTTTTTCAAGGCTAGGTAGAGTGTTTCTTATTGTTATTATTGGCTATATGAATTTGAATTTGCCTGCCACTTACACTACCCTTTGTATCCTATACAACTGCCATCACATTATGGAATTGTCACTGCTTCCAAAACACTAACTTGTTAAGTGGGTAACCTTCTACATTTTGAAGTGAAAGCAGGCCTCTGTTTAAATAAATCATCTCCCTATTTCATGTAACAGTAGAGAAAAGATTACACATCACTATCCCTGTAGGTGAGATAATAAATCATCAAGAAATCTAGACACAGTGTTGCCAGCAGTGCACGGGCTGCAATATCACATTCCACTCACTTGAGAAAGGTGTGAATTTATCCCAAGTTCAACAGGAACTTCTACCCTACTGCTATTAGCACCGTTACGTGGAAAACTGTATTATCACCTGATGGGGCATATTCTCAACATTGCAGTTAAACTGTTCTTTAGTTCAGGACTGTTTCAGCCTTTGCAATTACCTAGTAATCCACCCACATAAAAATAAGTAAAGGCACCTACCTGGTAATAAAGAGTTGGGATTAAAACAGGGTATAGTTTTGGACTTTCCCTGAAAAAATGAATACAGATCAATCTCATCTCTAGCTATGATGAATGGAAAGGTAAAATACTGTGTGTTTTCTAAAATAAAACCTTGATTTCCTGTGGAAACACTACCATCATTTAATCATCACTGTGTTTTGTTCCTTGCAACCACATAATAGTTGTGGTTTTGTCTTTTTGATTTTTTATGTATTTTACTCCTAAGATTATCACAGAAATTTGCTAACTTACTGCCTTTAGTAGTTGGGCTCTTCTCCAGACCCCAGCCTTAAAATACTTTCTCTACATGAAATTCAGGACTTCTACACAAAATTAGTTTAAAAAACAAGGGACAAAACAATAATTTCTTTGACTGACAGAAAAGACTTACTAAATACTCATTCCACTAATTTAATGCAATAAAATTTTATGTATGCAGAAGCATGTTTGATGCTGACCCTCCAAAAGTCACTAGCATAAAATGCTCATAATGACAACGCTATTCACCATCTTTCTCTACTTAGCTTTGCCTTCAATGATGAAGCTACAAAGTTCTGTGGACTAATGTTTCCACAGTTGCCTTAATAAACAATGAGTTTGTAATATTACATATAATTACTGTTTACCATATATTATTTGCCTAAAAGATCTTAATTCTTTTCCAGTAAGTCTCTCATTTTTCTGTTCTTCACCATCCTCTGAAGTGAATGGCTCGTCTCTTCAAGCCCAAATAGAACGCATTAATATAGCACAAAATACTTTAAAATCAAAGGTAAACATGATTATTTCTTTTATAGACAGAGAGATGGAAATAACTTTCCCAAGGTAATAGTGTTAGCATTCTGGAGAGTGCTCAAGGCTTCTAAATACAGCTATACTTTTTATCTGTTCTTCAGTATCCCCACATATAATCCATACAACAAGGCAGCACTGTGTCTTTGTTGATTTCCCACTGCAAGTTAATAAGAGTGTTCAATGCATCTATTTTTTTCCTCTACAAATAAAATCCACACAAGTTTGGAAATGCTGTTACTAGTGTTCACTAAGCATTTTGTCACAGTGCTTACATTCATACTGACTCCATACTGATAATCACTGGAAAGGTGGTACTTGAAATTAGTTACCAGTAAGACTGATCAAATTTTCTAGACATCACCAAAAGGATTTTAACTACAAAGACTGTATATTACCTGAAAACACTGTAAAATACTGAGCTTCTGATGTAGGCCACTGAACTACGGTTTTCACACATGGTTTTACTATAAAGGAGTTTGAAAACATTCTTTCAGTTTCAGTGTTTCATACACACTTTTCACACACTTACTTCATCTCTGGTTTGTGAGGGAAGCATCTCTTCAGATGATGTCTTACCTTGTACTGGATGTCCTGGAGAATTTCAGTTACAGCCTTTAGGCCTACATGCTCTTTTCCTATCTGAAATAAAATAAGCAAAGATGAAATTCAGTCTTTCGCTGTTTCTGAACCTATAAGGCAAGACAGAAGTCAACCAGAACACTAAGTTCTGAAATTATTTTGAATTAAGCTACCCAACCTCATGTTAATCAAATACACTGATACACAGCAATTCCAAACAATGAAATCCCTATATGGGCATCAGCCAAAATTAAACAGGATTTGAAAAACTTCAACATGAAGACAGAAACTGACAGAACAAGAAAAAGAGCCACAGTTAAGTCTGGTAAGTTTTGACTAACCCTCTTTTGTAGCATATACTGCAAATAAATTCAAAATCATGCAGCACTGTGACACATAATTGCCAAGAATACAACTTGTCCTTACTAGTTTTTTGTCAGAAAACCACACAGAAAGGAACAGAATGAACAAACATGATGGACATTTTTTGAATTTGCTCCCATGGTGCTGTTAATTTGGCTCTGAGGCTCAAGGGATTGTTTCTTCCCTACCTGCAGAGTTCAAAATGGCAGATCCTCCCCCTCCATGCACCTCTGGGCTTTTGCAGGCGAAAGTCTGACTCTCTGCAGCACTGTCCTTAAAGACTGAATGTCTTTAAGGTGTGGAAGATGGGGTTTTGAAAAGAAACCAGTTTCCACAAATGTTGTTCACTCTGCATGATGATTTCAGTTGCTTCTGATCTACTTCACCATCCAAAGATCCTACTTTTACCTTCAGAACAACACTGGCAAAATAGAAAGATTCAGAAAGGCCTTCCACTTGACTTCTTTGCCAGTGCATATAGGAGGTGAGGGATGAAATGGGCATGAGTGAAAACAGAAGAACTGGATGAAATTTGTTCATTTCTTGGGACTTTGGAATAGAATCACAGAATCACTGAAGTACTGAATCACAGGATGGTTTGGGTTGGAAGGGACCTTTAAGATCATCTAGTTCCAGCCGCCTGCTATAGGCAGGGACACCTCCTCTAGACCACGTTGCTCAAAGCCCCATCCAGCCTGGCCTTGAATGCTTCCAAGGATGGGGTATCCACAACCTCAGTGGGCAACCAACCTGTTTAAATGTCTCAGCACCCTCACAGTAAAGAATTTCTTTCTAATACCTAGTCTAAATCTACCCTCTTCCAGTATAAAACCATTTCTCCTCATCCTGTCACTACATGCCCTTATAAATGATATAGTCGTCATTGGAAGGAGATAAATGAACATCAATAAAATGTAACTTTATTTCTAGAAAATTAAGAGAATTTTCTCTTTTCTAAAAAAAATGGAATTTCTATTTAAAACCTTCAAACACGTCTGGAGCTCTCAGTACAAAAAAGACAGAGAGCTGTTGGAGAGGGTCCAGAGAAGAGACACAAAGATGATCAGAGGGATGGAGAACCTCCCTTATGAAGACAGGCTGAGGGAGCTGGGCTTGTTCAGCCTGGAGAAAAGAAGGCTGTGGGGTGACCTCATTGCAGCATTTCAGCTCCCAAAGGGAGCATACAAACAGGAGGGGAATCAACTCTTTGAAAGGGTAGATAACAGCAAGACAAGGGGAAATGGTTTTATGTTGAGGGAGGGGAGATTTAGGTTGGATGTCAGGCAGAAGTTCTTTACAGAGAGAGTGGTGATGTTTTGGAACAGGCTGCCCAGAGAGGTTGTGGATGCCCCGTCCCTGGAGGTATTCAAGGCCAGATTGGATGGGGCCCTGGGCAGCCTGGTCTAGTAATCAATGGGAAGGTTGGTGGCCATGCATGTGGCAGAGGAGTTGGAGATTCATGATCCTTGAGGTCCCTTCCAACCCAGGTCATTCCATGATTCTGTTGGTTCTAAATTGCACCCAGGTCTGTCAGTTAGGACAGTGAGACCATTTTTATTAACCTTAAAATGATGTGTTTGAGAACTGTGGTGTACAACTATTATATTTTCATGCCTTTAGTGGGAAAAATGGTCATTTTCCTCTCTCTGTTACTTTACTAAGTAGATGAAAACTGTTTTACCATAGTCAATTTTAGTTATGTGAACCCCTTCCTCACCAATGAAAAAGCACTTTGGAATGCTTAAAAACTCAGATTAAAGTGGAAGTCCAGAAATAGGAAATGTGTCATTTAAGTTTTATGTTTGGTTAAGAACTTACATATAACTTTTTACCATCTCCAAGGTTACCTCTCCTGGAATTAGAAGGTGACTTACATAAGCAATTATGACACAGCCCTCTAGGACACAAAACTGAGAGAACAAAAACTTTCTAACCATTTTTAGCAGTTCTATCTCAGTGTTGGAGACATAACCAATGTACCTTTACATTCCAACAGAGGTAATGCTCAAAGGCATTCATAAACTTGTAATGAAAAATGACAAATTAATAATATCACTGTGAAAGAAAAACCATTTGATCTAAGCATGAATTCTAAACTTCTTCCTACCAACCTATTTAAATAAAAAAGTTTGCCACGTCTCATGAGGACGATGAGAAACTGATAGTCTTCTTTATAGGGTGAAGCCCTTGAAAAATTTTGAACAGCAATTAGATTATGGGCCTAACTTCCCAGCTTGCACATTTCTCCCCAGTAGGCCTCAAATCTCTATGTCTCTGGCTCTTCTGAGAGTCTGCAGAAGATTCATTACAGTCCCAGTCTGATGTCTCTGAAGTAATGTGATCCTATCTCACATTTCTCCCATGTGAAGTAATATGCTTGCCCCTGTATTTAAAAAGACACCATTCTGCTACTGGTTTTTGTGTCAATGGGTCATTAGGCTTTCTTTTCCTCTTCCGTCCTCTCTTCTATGTATTTCCCCAGTTCCTGCACAGCAGGCTGGGGCTGGAATGGAGAACACAGCAGAGAGATATCGAAACGCCTCCACCTTCTGACAGTCCCCTCACAGGCATAGTGAGTGGATGCCTAATTACAGTCAGATGGCTTGATTACATATCAACTCTTCTTTAACTAATGTACATTAAATATACCATTTAAGCAAGATTTACTCATTTAGCATATGCACAGAGAAAAGGACAGAGAACTATCTTTTGACTAGAATCCCACAAGTTATACATTATTTTATGAAATTACTAAAAATGAAAGAAAATGTAAAGGAACTCATTTTCCTCATACAAATGACATTGCACGCTAACACAGGAAACTTACCTGTACAAATAAAGCAATGATAGCTATGCCATGCTTCTTCCCTACTGCTTCATCAATGCTGCTGTATAGTGTGGAGTTCCAGTGCATTAGATGAAGCTAAAACAAAGAAGTATAAATAGATCAGTACAGAAAAGTTTTGCATTAAAAAAAAAAAAAACCCACCAGAAATTAATTTCAATTAACAAGGCCTCCACATGCTCAAGCATATACATGCATGTACATGCCTGTGTCTGTGCATGTATATATAAATGCATTTCTATTAAAAATATGAAGTATTCCAAGGGAAAAAAAAAACTGCAGAAGAAATTATTTATGGTCAGTTACCAAATGTAACAAAGGTGTAGATAACAGTAACTCTCTTACTTTGAAATAACCAACGTAGCAAATCCAGTCTGCCAGTGCTGCCTCTCAGTCTGCCAGGTATGACCATGATTATGGACGTAGGCTGTCCAGATATGTACCTGACTGACTGACTGTTCTATCTCAATGATACTTGTCTCAAACTTCATCTTATAAGACGAGTCATTCAAATCTCAGTAGTAAAAGTAGGTGAAGTGATATCAGGAGAGGTTAATCTCAGTAGTAAAAGTAGGTGAAGTGATATCAGGAGAGGTTAAACAGAGAAGAAGTTAAGCAGAGAAAATGGCTGGAAAAGCACCTTCAGGACAGGAGAGAAAGAGATGCTAAAGAGGAAAATGAGGGCCCTCAACTGCCTTCCTTCACTATAGGATCTAATGAATGGATACAGGTCAGGCAGGAGACACCGGATGGTAAACTTGAAGTCTGTTCTAGTGAGGTGTCAGAGCTGTCTGGCATGATTTGGGAAGTGATGTTTGAGAAAAGTGCTATAAAACTGACTAGCAGATAGGAAGGAAGGCCAAAAGGGTGTAAGGAAGGACGGAAGGAAGGGAAAGAAGGGGAGGCAGGGAGAGAGAGACACTACCATCTGCTGTGAGCTAATATGCATTGCAAGCACAAGTTTTTCCAGTACTGATGCTAAAAAATATTCTCTGCATCTGGATTTGGTAACACTGCAGAGCTTAGGCATCCTAAGCACAGCTGATTTAAAGTTTATTTGCTAATAACTTCTGCACACTCCAAACACATAAAACAGCTTTAAAAAGTGGGCATTCTTAAATTTAACTCCCGTAGTAAAATCAAATGATCAATATTTTGATTAGACATGTGTAAGAAGTTAGTGTAATTCTCTTAACATCATTTCCACATTCAGGCACACCAGTTTTTAAAACAGATAGCGTATCTTTCTATTTGGTGTTTCAGTTTTGCCCAGTAACTGCCACTGTGAAAGGCTTCTGACAGAGCAGGAATTAGCTGAGGAACTGCAGGTTTCAGAAGATAAGTACCTCTCCCCTTATTTCATCTCTAAGGCACTACTCCAGATTATTGCAATTTTAAAAGCCTTTCTCAATATGAACTTTTAAATGAATCACAGAATCATGCAATGGCCTGGGTTGGAAAGGACCTCAGGATCATGAATCTCCATCCCCCTGTCACATGCAGGGCCACCAACCTCCACATTGATTACTAGACCAGGCTGCCCAGGGCCCCATCCAATCTGGCCTTGAACACCTCCAGGGATGGGGCATCCACAACCTCTCTGGGCAGCCCGTTCCAGCACCTCACCACTCTCTCCCCAACAGCTCTCTGTCTTTCTTGTACTGTGGGCTCCAGACCTGGACACAGTACTCCAGATGGGGCCTCACAAGAGCAGAGTAGAGGGGGACAATCACCTCCCTGTCCCTTCTGATGGAGCCCAGGATACCATTTGCCTTCCGAGCTGCAAGAGCACATTGCTGGCTCATGTTAAGCTTTTCATCCATCAGGACCCCCAGGTCCTTCTCTGCAGTGGGGGGGGATTTACCACCCCGGTCCCCACCTAGATGTTTAGGGATGCAGGGCTCAGGGACGTGAGAAATACTAGAATCCTGGCCGCCAGAGAAGACTGAGGCAAAGAACTCACTGAGTACCTCAGCCTTCTCTTCGTCCGTTGAAGCCAGTTCTCCTTTTACATTTACCAAAGGAAGTACACTCACTTTGGCCTATCTCTTCTGGCCAATGTAGCTGTAGAAAGTCTTCCTATTTTCTTTCACATCCCTCACCAAGTTCAGTTCCACCTGCGCCTTGGCTTTCCTGATCCCACATCTGCAAGTCCAGGCAATATCCGTGTATTCTTCCCAGGTGACACACCCTTGTTTCCAGAGCTTGTATGCACCTTCCTTTGCCCTCAGCATGCCCAGCAGGCTCTTGCAGAGCCATGCTGGTTTCCTACCTCCTCCACCTGCTTTCTTATTCAGAGGGATGGAGAGTTCTTGTGCACTCAGGAAGGCATCCTTGAAGAGTAGCCAGCTCTCCTCAACATCTTTGTTCTTAAAGACAGCATCCCAAAAGATCCTGGCCAACAGTCTATTGAACAGCTTAAAGTTTGCTCTTCCAAAGTTCAGAGTCCTGATGCCACTCTTCACCAGGCCCACATCCCTGGAGATCACAAACTCAACCAGGGCGTGGTCACTGCAACCCAGGCTGCCTCCAACCTTAACGCCTTTAATGATCTCCTCTGCATTGGTGAGCAGCAGGTCCAGCAACACTTCACCTCTGGTTGGTCTGTCCAATACCTGGACCAGAAAGTTATCATCAGTGGATTCCAGGAGCCTCCTGGACCTCTTGCAGCTCGCCATGTGGTCTTTCCAGAAGATATCCGGATGGTTGAAGTCCCCCATCAGGATGAGAGCCTGTGAGCACGATGCTTCCCGTGTCTGAAGCAAAAAAGCCTCGTCAACAGTCTCCCCTTGATCAGGTGGCCTGTAGTATATGCCTATCACCAGCTGGCCTTTGTTAGTCCCATCCCTAATTCTAATCCAAAGGCTCTCAACCTGTTCCTTTCTGTTTCTCAGAGGGAGCTCCTCACAGTCTATCCACTCTTTGACATAGAGAGCAACTCCCCCCCACTTCCTACCTCGCCTGTCCTTCTAAAGAGGAATACTTGGAATACCCCTAATGGTGGTATTCCAGTTATGGGAGTCATCCCACCATGTTTCCGTGATAGCAACAAGGTCATAACTTTCCAAGCACATCACAGTTTCCAACTCATTCTGC